AAAATAAACTATGAATGATTATTTTATTATTTAGAATATACTATATACAACAAGTATAATTAATTAATTAGAAAATATAGAAACAATATTTACATAAGTAGTTAGAAATAGTAATTAGAAATAGAATACGTATTAATATTATTAATAATAGTAAATGTATTAACGACTTTAAATTAGAAGGGAAGTCAAGTTCGTTGTCATGGATTTCGAATTCACCAACATGAAGAAAACAGACATTGTGCTAATATCAGGAGCAATCTCGAATAGTTTAAACATGTGTAAGATTCGTAAGCTTGAGGAGAAACGTAAGGGTAATGGCTGTTCGTGAAATACAGTTGGCAGAGAAAACTATAAAGCGGATTTTCCACAACAAGAAGTCAGTGGAGACGACCTGTTTAGCACAACTCAACAAAAGTCTGAATTCACAATTAAATAATTTAACACCAGAATTCATAAAAAATTATATTTTACGTGGAGATAAAATAAATGTAGTGGTATTGTTTGGGGGATCTTACGATAGGAACATCCTAAGTAGATTCGGTTTAGGACATATAGAAATATTAAATATTAGATGCTATGATTTGAATTTTGATGGAAACTTCTACATGCTCTTAGAAAAACTAAAGGGAAAGACAACCGAGAAAATATTCGAATATAATGTAGGTAGAATCCAGAAAAATGGTAGACTGTTGAATTTAACCGAAGCTTGGTAAAACAATTCCAACCAATATCAACATACCACATACAGATCACCACGTTGTGAAATATAATTTTTACGAATTTATAACTTTTATTATGGCAACTAACAAATTGCTTGATTAACAAATTAAAGTAAATAAAAAGAGCAGGAAGTAACGATAGATACTAGTAATTAGTTAAAATAGAGCTAAAATAGTAGGTAATTTAAATAAATTAATTTCAGAATAGAAACAGAAAAGAAATAAGATTAGAAATCTTGAAGATTGATAAATGGTGCACTATTATATACCGAACGGTTTGACAACTTAAGGAAAATGTTGGAATTTGATCGTTTGGTGGTTGGTTCGAAAATCGTGTGTATAACGGATTTTTTAACGGAATCACCAATAGACCAAATGGCCAAATAAATCTCAATAAGAAATTATAAGGACAAGGTCTTGTTAATTTAGCCAGTGTCGTGGAATAATGCTTTGATTTGCAGCACACTCTAACGTCACGGGTTCGATTAGCAAGATAAAAACGCGCACGACAATATAATAGAATAAAATCGATTTAATGCTAGTCTTGATCATGTAATAGAACTTGAATAAAATAATTTATTGCTGGTCTGGACCTGTAGTAAAAAGATATAATCAGATCACAGTATAGGAATAGTAATATTAACTACAAAAAAAAAAAAAAAATAGATATAAAATATAATAATATAACGATTAATGGAATATATATATATAGGAACAGACGTAAACGTAGAAAAAAAATGAAAAAAAAAAAAGAAAATTTAGGATAAAATTTTTTATATAAATATAATATACAAATACATAAAGGAACATATTAGCATAATATATTGGACATAATTAACAAGGTGATGGAAAAAGAAATATATTAATCTAACTTATTTAAAATATAATTAACATGGTAATAGAAAAAAATATATAATACACCACTATTTTATCATATATAATATATATTATATATATTGCACGAAAAAAAATATATTGTAATAGATTTTAAGAATTTATACGTATTATATCAAAGAATTAATTCATATTATATTAACAATAAGATAAGATTATTGTTGTAAAACAAAAACAAAAATATATATATATATATATTATTAATCACATAAGATACTAACCTAGATAATAAGCAAAATATATATTGTAATATTGTGGATTGTAATCTGTATTTGTCAATAATATTTAATAAATATAACCAGGGAAGTATGGTGAAATGTACCATATAATTGCAATAATGTATTTAAACAATTGTAACAACATATTATGTAAACATGTAATAATTGATATATGTAAAATCTGTAACCATAGGAAAGTGCTTGAACCAATGGAGGGATGATTGAGTTAATTTTTCTCGTTTTAGACGATAAAAATCAACTTTTAAAGGGGGAGATGTAGTAAGCAAGTTACTACCTAACAATAAAAGTGATAATAGTGATATCTAAAAAGTTAAATTTACTACCAAAGAGCCAAATTGTTATTTTTCAACTCAAAGTGGTGAAATAGTAAAAATAACTGAAATTGTATCACCAATGACCAGCGCCGGCGCTAGGTTTTTCGGGGCCCGGGGCACATCATATTGAAAGGGACCCCAATATGCGAAATATTGAAAGCAAAAACCTACCGGCTACCAACTGGAAAAAATACAAGTCCTATACATATTTTATATAATTTACATAGTTATATTTGTTAATATTAGGTATGTAACTACCTTTACAGTTTACAGTCTATAATATAGATATTAGACTCTATACTATATATATTAGAATTTTATAAGTATCTAATACTTGAAAATAAATAAAGCATGCTTCGTAGTTCGTTTAACAATAAACAGTATGTATGCAACAAAATACGAAATATGATTTTATAGTAGGTAAAAGATTTTATTTGAGAAACTGAACTAGGAAGTTTTTATATTTGAATAGTGTTTTACATCAAGCTTAACATAATATGTAATATTATTATATTTTTTAGCGATTACAAGTATATTATAGTGTATAAAAAAATATAGAAGTATGTATTATTACTTACACAATAAATTTACTTTTATTTTTTTTTTTAATTCCCTTTTATTTTATAAACTTCTCAACATTATCAAAATAAAAAATATAGTATAATATAGTTAATTAATTTGAAATCATTTTTTAGTACATAAAAATAACAAGTAAACATTTAAAATTATAATTTATATTTGATATAGTTAGTTTTAGTGTTTAAGTTCTAAATAATTTTCTTTCTGGCTTTTTTGGAAGCAAAATCATTTATAATTTCTTCATAGTTCAACTGTTCGGATAGTTCTTTTTCAATACAAATTGTGGCTAGTCCACTAGTCCAGTGAGTCGTTGTTGGGACATGGTACTCCGTAAATAAGTTTTTATTAATTTAAGCTTCGAAAAAGATCTCTCTGCTCCAGCTGATGTGAGTGGAATGGTCAAATAATAACAGAAACACACAGACACCCAGTACAAGTAGCTTGCATTTGGTTTTTAAGAAAATAAAATTTATGAATCGTTATCGCGGTTTAAAATAATTACGAATTCGATTTATTTATAACTGAATAACTCATCTACAATAATATATTTTAATATTTCGGAGATCGACCACTAACATCAAGATAATAAAATGCAGCTATACTCGATAATAAAATCCTGTATGGAACTTAACAAGAGTTTTAAATATAAATAATTTTATTTTAAATAATAATTTCTAGCGGGGCCCTGAAAGCGCGGGGCCCGGGGCATGTGCCCCGCTCGCCCCGGCCTTGCGCCGGCGCTGCCAATGACTTCCAATAATAAAATCATTATTGGAAAAATATTTTTAAACCAGGAAGGAATGTTTGTTAGCCCTTTAAAATCATCAAAGCTAAACATTTATAACGTAAATAATCTTTCTCAAAATTTATATAAATGGGATTTTTCTGATATTAAAATGAATTGATGATTTTTCATTTTGAGGGTTTAGTTACGTCTATACCAATTATTCATTCTTAATTAATATAGTGAGTATGAAGTAAAAAGTTGTCCTCTATGTATTTTGTGTTAATTTATGTTTTAAACTTTTATTGTTATTAACATTATGAATAATTATAATAATAATAATAGATAGATAGTTTAACTAAAACTTAAATTATATTATACTTAGCTCTCTATATATTAAATATATACAGATACAATAATAAATATTCATTATTGTATCTGTTTTACTATTCATATGATTATATGATTAGTAAAACAAAAATAGGTAGCTTAAATATAACAAGCATTTATACCAATACCAATAAATTAAAGTTTATATTTTAGTATTTTAATACCAAATATTTAATCTTTTTAGAATTATGTGGACTATTGTCTGTTTCACTGTGGACAATAGTGTAGATGTTGTACCTGATACATGGTATCACAAAGGTACATGTGCATGGCCCAAAAAAAAATGTAACCTAAAGAAGTATATAGAAACACGTATTCAACCAAACACAGAAGATTTTGACTATTATAATGCCCGTCCTCTTCAACAAAATATACGTAAGTTTTGATTTTTAATAAGTACAACAATAATAAATATAATATAGGTACCTAATATTATAATAAATAATATACCATGGCAAGGTTTATTAAATTATTAGCTAATATACCTATAAGTACCTACCTAATAGATAGAGTTTTTATGTCAGTGCTCATATATTTAAAATTTTATTACTAGAGAGTTTCCATCAAGCTCGTTTAAAATCTCTGAAAGCGCAAGATAAATCTGAGCATCAATGGTTGGATGTTTGGACCGAGCTTCGTCGACTGTGAGCCTCAGCTGTGATCCTACCAGGATTTGGGTCGTGTGCCACGGGCTCGCGGTGGGCCCTGACCAGAGGCGGTCGCCCTGGCGCGGTGGCCGCGACCCCCGAGTTTAAGGCTCGGTAGCCTTTGGCACACCTCCCAGAGGCATCACCGAGGTGATCGACTCGCTCTTCACGAGGTCGCAGTACGAACCTCCAACACCCTAGTCCCCGAGGGTTTCGGTGTGTCCGCGTCCCGGACGCCGGCCCCGTCTGGCCATTTCCCTTTCAGTCGCCTCTTACGACAAGCAGGGAATACTGATGCTGAATTCTTCACGGCCCCAGCAACAGGGCCGAACTCCTCGCCCTGGGCGCATGAGCACGCCCCTGGTCAGGACGCGCTCGAGCGTGCCCCGCCGCTTGTGCCACTTACACCGTGCGTGCTCATCCGGGACACCCCGAGACTGTGCACTTCCACCGCCTGGTGTGGCTGCGTCCTGACCTTAGCCCATTTCTGGACACTATCTGTCGGTTCTGTTTGTTAGCGCTTTCTTGGCGAACTTCCTAAGCGCCTCGTACGTCCTTCTCGTTTTGAGGAAGGCACCGTTCCTGGGTGGCCAGCCCTCATGTTCCTCAGCCATCACTTTTTTGAGCTCCTGTCTGTATGTCTCCGTTCTCGGGCAGCGGTATATAACGTGCTGGACTGTCTCCGATCCATTCCCGCACCCGCAGTTGGGCGAGGCCACTAGCTTGAACCCAAACAGTTTGGATTTGAAGTCGCCGTGCCCTGTCAGCAACTGGGTCGTGTAGTGGTCCAAGGGCATTGGCAGAATGTACCGTTCCCGCACGCAGGGTATCATGCGCTTGGTCCATTCCCCTTTGTCGGTCGCTTCGTACCTTTCCTGCCATGTGGTGAATATATTCGCCACGTGTTCCGTGAGCTGCTCCTGGGTGATCTCGCCTCCTGCCAGGCGTCTTTGGAGCGCACTTTTCTCAATCTCCAAGTCAAATGGTAACACCCCTGCCACGACTGAGAGGCAGTTCGTCGAGGCCGTTCTGTATGCCGCGGTCATTGCGAGTAGAGGTGGCCTTTGCATACTGCCTAGTTTTTAATTGATTTTTTCATTTTTGCACCGCTTGACCATATCTCGGCCGCATACTTCAGGAACAACAGTAGATAATTTTATATCTAATAATAAGTCATTTGAAGGACACAAAGAAATATTATTTGGTTCAAATTTATAGCAATTTCAAAACGCATCAAATTCACGGGATATGCAAACAATTGTGGACAGTGTTAGACCTGAATCACATATTCAAAAAAAAAACAAATACTTCATCAAAAAGCAATCTATTTGATATATCCATTGATTCTGAATCGTATGAAGTTTCTGTAAACGATAATTTATTGGATTCAGAAAATAACGTACAGCTACGTACTCCGACTTCGATTCCACATAATATAATAACTCCAAATAATTCTGGTGATCGTAGAGATGATGGTAAGATACAAATTGTGTGCCATGATGTTTTTGTATGATTAA